ACTACCTCCCAATCACAACTCCTAAGAATGCTGGGTAAAATGTAGCAAACATCTTGCAATAGCCCTAGAAGAGCTCATCTCCATCAGCTGAAAACAAAGACTTGCAATTATGAGAGCCGGGCTGACAGTGACACTGGCAGTGCCCTGACAGCATTCGCCAGGCTTGCTTTTCAAAGACGTAGGCTTGAGTGACCATGGGAGAGATCAGAAGAGCCTTCGGTTAATGAGAGATGACAGGTGAACTCCCCCTGTAGGACTTGGACTCTTGAAAGGCTAATGCCTCAGACAAAAGGCCAACTAGAGAAAAAGATCTGCCCACCAGCAAGGAGAAGCAAACGGAAAAGTCTTTTCTGAGAACTCGCAGTGACAGGCAGGCCTTCCTGTGTGTGTGGCTTTCTGATTTATGTGTGTGACAAATGCCACACGAATGAATGAACAGAAAAGCACACAAAATTTGTTCAAGCCATACCTGGCAGGAGGAGTAACATGTTCCATCTGCAGGAACGCACCGTTACTATGGCTTAAATGTTTGTGTCCTCCACCAAAAATCCTTGCCAAAACGGAAGCCCAGTGCAACAGAATTAAGAGGCAGGGCCTTGGGGCCAGCGCTGTGGCATAGCGGGAAAAGTCACCACCTGCAGCACTGGCATCCCATAGTGGGCACTGGTTCAAGTCCCAGCTGCTCCACTTCCAGTCCAGCTCTCTGCTATGGCCTGGGAAAGCAGTAGAAGTCGGCCCATATCTTCCCATGCACCCATGTGGGAAGACCAAGAGGAAGCTCCTGGCTCCTGGCTTCGGATCAGCACTGCTGTGGCCATTATGGCCATCTGGGGAGTGAACCAGTGAATGAAGACCTCTCTCTCTCTCTCTCTCTCTCTCTCTCCCTCTCCCTCTCCCTCTCCCCTCCTCCCTCCCTCCCTCCCTGTCCTTCTCTCTCTGTGTAACTCTTATTCTCAGATAAATAAATAAATCTTTTTAAAAAAGAGGCAGGGTTAGGAGATGATTAGTGCCTTACAGAAAGGCTACAAGGAACCTGCTAGGCCCTGTTTGCCCTTTCACCCCTTCTTCTGTGTGAGGACAGTGCTCAGAGCACTCGCTTGGACCAAGCAGAGATTGGGCCCTCACCAGACACTAACTCTGCTGGTACCTGGATCTTGGATCCTCCAGCCTCCAGAAGTGTGAGAAATAAATTGCTGTTGCTTATAAATCCCTCAGAGTGACTGTTAGAGCAACAGAAACAGACTCTGATATCCCTTAACCAAGGTCTTACAGGATGACTGTAAATAAATCCCTGCGCAACTCAAGCTGTTCATCACTGTAACAAAATACCTAAGGCAATCTGTTTATAAGGAAAAGAGGTGATGTGGCTCACGGTTTTGGAGGTTTACGGGCACGGCAGTGGCATTGACCCAGTTCTCACGAGGGCCATCACAACTGCATCACATCATGGCAGATAGCAAAGGTCAGAGCACGTGTGAGAGGAAGGCTCCCAGCTTGAGACAAGAAGCAGAGAGAGACCCAAGGGTCAGGTTCAGGCTCATAGAACAACTTGCTCTCACAAGTGCTACCCAGGGTCCCATGAGAACTAACCTTGGTCCCTTTCACAGGCATGCCCCCAATTCACCTAGGACCTCCCACTAGGCCTACCTCTTAAAGGTTCCATCAGCTCCCAGACTACAACCCTGGAGACCAACCTCTCTTAGCATACAAACCACATCTAAACCATGGCAGACCCTAACCCCAAAATAGAAAACACAGAACAATCAAGCCACCATGAACAAGAAACAGACCTAGCACCTCCAAACTTCAGAAACTTGCAGTCTTGGATAATAACATAACAAAGCAAAGTGTTGAAAAAAAAGGGGCTGGCGCTGTGGCGTAGTAGTGGGTAAAGCCACCACCTTCAGTGTCAGCATCCCGTATGGGAGCCAGTTCAAGTCCCAACTGTTCCACTTCCGATCCAGCTCTCTACTATGGTCTGGGAAAGCAGTGGAAGATGGCCCAAGTCCTTGGGCCCCTGTACTCATGTGGGAGACCTGGAGGAAGCTCCTGGCTCCTGGCTCCTGGCTTCAGAATGACCAGCACCAGCCATTGCAGCTATCTGGAGAGTGAACCATCGGATGGAAGACCTCTCTCTCTCTTTTTCTCTCTCTTTCTCTCTGTCTCTTTCTCTTTCTCTCTCTATCTCTGCCTCTCTGCAACTCTGTCTTTCAAATAAATAAATACATCTTTAAAAAATAAAAATAGAACTGAAAATATTAATAAAATTGTATCAAAAGGGATCAGTTAGATTTGAAAATTCAAACTTCTAGAAATGAAAAATGCATTTATAAAAATATAAAACTCAACAGGTATTAGAATAGCAGACTAAACACAGCTGATGGAGACAAAAAAGATAGAAACTGGAAGAGAGAACTGAAGAAGTTATCCAGAAAACACAAGAAATGAAAATGTGAAAGAGAAACAAAGTAACATGGAAGATCAGAGTTCCAGGAGAAAAGGAGAGAAAAGCAACTTTTGAAGAGAAAGTGGCTAAAAATTATCACAGTTGTTAAAACAGCAGGAACCATCAGATTCAGGAACCACAGTGAATCCCAAGAAGAAATATTAAAAATCTGCACAAAGACATAGAATAACAAAAGTCCAGGACATCAAAGACAAGGAGAAGAGTTTGAAAACCACCTGAGAGAAGAGTACTTAGAAGACAGTCACATGTACAAAAGACTTCCCAGCAGCAACAATGTAAACCCAAAGGAAGAGCTGGCTTTTTTTTTTTTTTTCAAAGTATAGGAGGAATGCTGGGAGGATAGCCAGTAGATCTCCCAGGAACCAGCATTTGCTACATGAGGGTTCTTCCTCTTCCTGTTGTTAAAATAATGCACTTGAGGAGGCAGTGTCGTGGTGCAGTGGGTTAAGCTGCCACCTGCAGCACCAGCATCCCATATCATTGTGCCAGTTTGAGTCCCTGAAGCTGTGCTTCCAATCCAGCTCCCAGCTGATGAACCTGGGAAAGCAGTGGAAGATGGTCCAAGTGCTTGAGCCCCTGCTACCCATGTGGGAGACCAGGATGGAGTTGCAGGCTCCTGACTTCGACCTGACCCAGCCCTGGCCATTGCAACCACTTGGGAGCATACTAGCAGCTAGAAGATTCATATTCTTCTCTCACTCGCTCTCGCTCTCGCTCTTGCTCTCTCTCCTTTTCAAATATTTTAAGAATAATGTACTTGGAGAGTAAAGAAAATATAAAGAAGAAGATGAAAATTCTGTCTGTTAATTCTCCCTTCTTAGGTTAGCCACTGTTACCACGCTGGTTTCTTCCTGTGGACTTTCCCCTCAGCATCAGGTCATGGTGTGTGATATTTTTCATCCTGTTCCTTTTAGTCACCATCACACTGGGGACATTTTTTCACTTTACCTAAGTGTTATTCAAGAGCATAATTTTTCTTTTTTTTTTAATTTATTTGACAGGTAGAGTTAAAGACAGTGAGAGACAGAGACAGAGAGAAAGGTCTTCCTTCCGTTGGTTCACTCCCCAAATGGCTGCCATGGCCAGCGCTGCGCTGATCCGAAGCCAGGAGCCAGGTGCTCCTTCCTGGTCTCCCCATGTGGGTACAGTGGCCCAAGGACTTGGGCCATCCTCCACTGCACTCCCGGGCCACAGCAGAGAGCTGGACTGGAAGAGGAGCAACCAGGACTAGAACCGGCACCCATATGGGATGCCGGCACTGCAGGCAGAAGATTAAACAAGTTAGCCACGGCACTGGCCCCTCAAGAGCATAATTTTTCTTGCATTGTCTTGATGCCCTGGCCCATGTTTCTTCGCTTTCCCAAGTGTTTCTCTACCTGCCAGTTGTAGCGTTCTGTGCAGCCCGAGAGCTTGCTGTGCCTCCTCTCACCCTGAGACCACGAAGTGGGTCCTAAAACACCTCTTGAGAAAGTTGACCTTTTAAAGCTCTATGATAGTTTATTTCAGTTCATTGTTTTGCCAGAGAGACAAAGACAGAGATCTTCCATCCACTGGTTCACTCTCCAAAAACCCTGCAACAGCCAGGGCTGGAATGAGCCAGAAACTCCATCAGGGATCCAAGTACTTGAGCCATCACCTGCTGCCCCCCAGGGTGTGCATCGTGGGGAGCTGGAATTGAAATGGAGGCTGATGGGCCAGCGCTGTGGTGCAGTGGGTTAAGCTTCTGTCTGGAGTGCCAGCATCCCATATGGGTGCTAATTTGAATCCTGGCTGCTCCACTTCCAATCCAGCTCCCTGCTAATGGCCTGGGAAAGCAGCACAGGATGGCCCAAGTCCTTGGGCACCTGCACCCATGTGGGAGACCTGGAAGAAGCTCCTGGCTCCTGGTTCCTGGCTCCTGGCTTAGGCCTGGCCCAGCCCTGGCTGTGGCGGCCATTTGATGAATGAACCAGCGGATGGAAGGTTTCTGTCTCTCTTCTCTCTGCAACTCTTTCAAATAAATAAATCTTTAAAAGAAAATAAAGAAATGGAAGCCAAGACTCGAACCTAGGCACTGTGATATGGGACCCAGGCATCTTAATCCCTGTGCCAAACACACAGCCCCATTTCGGTTTAGAGGAATGTGATCAATCTCAGTTCTGGGCCCACCTTTGCTTCAACTGATGTCACCTTCATTGTGCCCAACAGAGACATCTGTGGCCTCAAGAAAGGAGTCTCGTCCTTGCCAGGGGACAGCTTATAAGCACTCTGCTGCCCTAATTGGCACTCAGCGAGCAATGAGGCCAAAGTCACATGTACCACCCCCTTCCCCTCAGGCAGCTGTGCACTGGACAAAGCCTGCTCTCTGTTCGCACACTGCTCCCCGGCCCCAGAGATGTCTGGATGAAGGGAGAGTAGTTTAGAAAAAACTCGCCAGGGGGCACATCCTTCTGCTACAGCGGGTCACAGCGGTCCTCTGTGTGCTGAGACAGCCCAGGCTTGCTTCGCTCCATAAAGCCACCCCCAGCCTCACCTGCCCGTGTGTCTTTGGCAGGTTTTTGTCCAGCTATGCCTGGCAGGGAAGAACCTGAGTCACGTAAGAGGTGGCTGCCTTGTGTGTGGGTACCTGAAGCTGGTGTTACTGTTCTGTCTCGTGATGCCCGGAATGATCAGCCGCATCCTGTTCCCAGGTAAACCCTTTTTGATATGATGTATTTGAAAGGAAGAGACAGAGACAGAGACAGACGGGCCTCCCATCTGCTGATTCCTTCCCCAAATGCCTACAGCAGCCGGGTCTGGGTCAAGTCAAAGCCAGGAACGCTGTCCGGAGCTCCCAGCAGATGAGTGGCAGGGCCCAGGTGCTTCCGCCATCACCGCTGCCTCCCAGGGTGTACATTAGCAGGAAGCCAGAATCAAGAGCAGAGCTGGGACTCGAACCCAGGGACTCTGAGAATGGATGCAGTTGTCCCAAGAAGTGTCTTCACTGCTGTGCCAAACCACCTATCCCAGGGCGAATTCTTGATTCTGAACCTGATCAGCCTGTCATCTCTTACAGACCCAGAGAGCATGTAGGGCTAGCTGGTCTCCCTGAATATACCAGTGACATGTTGTGCTCCTTTGGGTGAGGATTGAGATAGACATTATGGACAGAGAGGAATTCTAGGGAGGTGAACTTGGACGGAAAAGAGCAGATCAGCGTGCTTTTCTCCCTCAACCCCTATCCCGCCGTGACCTGGTACTGTCAGCAGGAAAGTGAAGTTGCGCCCATCACATCACAGACATCACCATGCTGTGCCTGCCCTGTGCTGGGAAATCACGGATTCTGTCACTGCCTCTCATAGTCCCAGAGGTGGCCCTGCCTGGCCTCGGGAGGCACTCTGTGGGGAGCTCAGTGTAATCCCCCAAAATGGGCCTGATTGTGAGCCAGGCCCACATTCGGTCCATTAATTGCTAACTCTCCGAACCTTGGAGATGAACCGGACGAGCACTTGACGCTGACAGGTGCAGCCATGGGGACAGAGCTGGCGACTTCCAGGGGGAGTCTTCTGCTCCAGTGCTTTGAGAAAGGCCAAGTAACATGAAGAACACTTCGGAGTGTTGAGGAGCACGTGCAGGAGACGTGTCTTGCCCTAATCCATCCTGCAATCTGCCTCTTCTTTTAGCGTAATTCCCAGCTTTGGTGTCCAGCTGTCAAGTGATGCTTTGTTACATCCCTTAGGTGCTGCTTCCTTGTGGGGTACAAAGCAGGTCCCTATGCTCTTGGAGACCTGGAGCCCCAAGTCATTACTCACCCCTTCAGGGCCAAGGGAGTCAGGTTACAAACTGCTCCTGTGATAGTACCAGAATGGGTAGTCTGTCGGCTCTCCTGACACCATATGGGGTCAGTGAAGCTTTCCAAGGCCAGCTGACATGCTCTGGGCCGTGCCATGAATACGTGGAAGCACTAATCCATTTGCCTCCCACCAGCCCTTCCCTCCAGGAGCTGGAGCTGTCCCGAGGGGACCAAGAATCTCACGTCTGTGTGTGAACATCTGCTTCCCTTACCCTGAGCCCAGACTGGAGAGCTTGAAGGTCCACGTGTTGATATGATGGTCCCTTCCCTTTGCAGATAAAGTGGCGTGTGTGGTGCCTTATGAATGTCAGAAGTTCTGCGGGGCCAGTACCAACTGCAAACCCATTGCTTATCCAATGCTGGTGATAAAACTGCTGCCCAGTGGTAAGAAAGGGGCCCTGCCACCGAGGGCCGTAACCCTCTGTGTCCCCAGGGAGCCTGTGCTCTCAAACTCTAAATGACTGATCAAGAGTCGGGGCTGGGGTGGCTTTCCCTACCCATCAGCCCCTGGTTCTGGGTGGACAAGATGTCAGCACTGTAGAGGGAGCCTTGTTGGCCCTGGTGGAAGCAGCGTGATCTCCCTCGTCCCTCTCCATTCCTCACACACCCAAAGCCCCATCCTCTCAGAGGCACAAGCTGCACGTGCCGTTGGCACTATTCACTTCACCTGCTTAGCTCTTTCCTGGAGAAAATGAGCTCCACACGCTGTGCTAGGCTTTGTTCTAGGCCAAGAGAATAGAAAGGCGAGCAGCATCCAGTCCTGCCTTCTGAGAGCTCACTGTCCAGCGGGACGGGCAGGAAGGTACCCAGCAGTCAGATGTGCGCTGCGAGGTGACAGTGAGCCCATGCATTTATCCCACCTCCTCGTCCCCAGATCCCAACGAAATGACCAGATATTGCAGCTTACAAAACCAATTCCAGTCTAGCTCTGGAGAATGAGTTGGAAAAGTTGAGACAGTCCCAATAAAATACAGTATAGATGGAATCAGATTGAGGGAGACCCTGACTGTCTCACAGTGCAGGGAGTAAGCTGTCTGGGCTCCCCAGCCGAGCCCCAGGAAGTGCCTTGTCTTAGAACAGCCAGGGCTGCAAGTGAGCATGGGAGCAGCAGGCAGGCAGGCAAACCCAAAGACCCCGGTCTTCACCTGCCTCACGCAGCCCAGTGAGTCCAGCTGGGGCACTACTGCCCTGGGCTTCCAATTGAGGAATTGATTATCCTCGCATTCACCCAGAAACACACAGAAATCTCTCAGTGGAGCAGGTCAGGTACCTTCGATATGGTGACCCTCCAGGAGACGATACAGGGTTATTTGATTTCTAATTGCCATTTGTATTTTAACATTTGCTCTATCTTGGGCATTGTTCTAACCCATCTACGTCATTTCATCTTAATAGCAGCTCTAGGTGGCTGTTGCTGTGCCCACTTTACAGGTGAAAACACTGCGGCCCAGGGAACTGCATCCCTTGCAGCTGCAGCATCTGGCTTCTCATTATGAAATGGAAGGCGGCACAGGCATCCAGCCCACAGGGCTGAGGATGGCGTGGGCTGATGCTTGTCCTGGCACAGAGTAACCACTCAAGGAGTATTAACTCCCATTAGCATACAGAGACACCGCAGGAAGCTATTAAGTTCTTGTCACAAAGCAAGAAAAAGCATCATGGAATCATCTAAGATGAAATTCCATTTCAAATAAAACTGAATGTGTTCTAGGAAAAAAAAAAAAGTAGTATTTGGAAGAATTCCTCAGGCGGCCTCAGTCACTTCCTGGCACTGTCAGAGAGCTGGAGGGCCAGGACATGTCCTCTCTCCTCCAGGTTTACGGGGCTTGTTGCTGTCCTCTGTGTGCGCCTCCTTCATGTCCTCCCTGACTTCCGTCTTCAACAGTGCCAGTGCCCTGTTCACACTGAACATCTATGCCCACATGCGGCCCATGGCCACGGAGAAGGAACTCATGATAACAGGAAGGTGAGGTGCTCCTCTCGTCCCAGCAGTCCCCGGAGTCAGGGCAACAACGCCCACAATGCATCATGGGAAAGACTGAGGCCGTGATACAGGATATACACCTATCCCGTGTCTACACCGTCCTGCTTGGGTTTCTGGTTGTTTTTGCTACAGTTGTACAATGAAGATGTATTGCTTTGATTATCACAAAAGAAAATTGTTTTGTTCACTTGAGAAAAAAAAGGGAAAGTAATGATCGCAGTGATAAAAGTGAGCCTACTTTCACTTCCCACTAACTAGTCACTAGGGGGACATGTGCATCCATTGTCTCCTTTAGTCCTATCCATAGCCATTAAAGGTAAGCTTGACTGTTCTCATTCTCATGGTGCAAATGGGGAAACAGTGGCTAAAGGGGAGAATTGATCTATCCGAGATCACAAAGTAAGTAGGGGAACTTGTTTGTTTCAAGACCATGCTATTAACCTTGATGCCACGTGGCACCTGCTAAGTTGCTGTCTTTAAAAGATTTACTCCATGGCCGGCGCCACGGCTCACTAGGCTAATCCTCCACCTTGCGGTGCCAGCACACCGGGTTCTAGTCCCAGTCGGGGCACCGGATTCTGTCCTGGTTGCCCCTCTTCCAGGTCAGCTCTCTGCTGTGGCCAGGGAGTGCAGTGGAGGATGGCCCAAGTGCTTGGGCCCTGCACCCCATGGGAGACCAGAAGTACCTGGCTCCTGCCATCGGAGCAGCGCGGTGCGCCGGCCGCAGCATGCTGGCCGCGGCGGCCATTGAAGGGTGAACCAACGGCAAAGGAAGACCTTTCTCTCTGTCTCTCTCTCTCACTGTCCACTCTGCCTGTCCAAAAAAAAAACTTACTCCATAGGGTTTGACATTGCCACACCTGGGCCACACACCTTTATTAAAAAAAAAAAAAAGATTTATTTATTTAAAAGTCAAAGAGAAGAGAGAGAAAGAGAGATCTTTCATCCACTGGTTCACTCCCCAAAGGGCTGCAATGGCTGGGGGTTGGACAGGAGCCAGGAGCTTCCTCCGGGTCTCCCATGTGGGTGCAGGGGCCCAAGCACTTGGGCTATCTTCTACTGCTTTCCCAGGTGTATTAACAAGGAGCTGGATCAGAAGCAGTTGGGACTGGAAGTGGTGCTCATATGCCCACACTGCAGACGGCTTGACTTGCTGTGCCCACAGTGCCGGCCCCAGCCTTTAACTTGGCCATGTATGTCTCAAACACTTCTTTTTTTTTTTAAAGGAATAACTCCTCCAGTTCTTTCTTTAAAGATTTATTTTATTTATTTGAAAGACAGAATTACAGAGAGAGGTAGAGCCAGAGAGAGAGAGAGGTCTTCCATCCACTGGTTCACTCCCCAAATGACTGCAACAGCCAGAGCTAAGCTGATCCGAAGCCAGGAGCCAGGAGCTTCTTCCAGGTTTCCCACATGGGTGCAGGGGCCCAAGGACTTGGGCCATCTTCTACTGCTTTCCCAGGCCATAGCAGAGAGCTGGATTGGAAGTGGAGCAGCCAGGACTCGAACTGGCACTCATATGGGATGCCGGCATTGCAGGCCGCAGCTTTAACCAACTGCGCCACAGCGCTGGCCCCTCAAACACTTCTTTATCTTGACTTAGGTGCATATTGTTTATCTACTTTATCTAATCCCTGTAGGTGTTTGAGTTTGCTTTTATATTTTCATTAGCCTGCTTTGGTTGAAAAGGCATTTGTCTGAGAAATTTTTTTTACTTTTTTTTTTTTTTTTTTTTTTTTTTTTTTTTTTGACAGGCAGAGTAGACAGAGAAAGAGAGACAGAAAGAAAGGTCTTCCTTTTCCGTTGGTCTACACACACACCCCCCAATGGCCGCTGCGGCTGGCACACTGTGGCCAGTGCACTGTGCTGATCCGAAGCCAGGAGCCAGGTGCTTCCTCCTTATCTCCCATGTGGGTGCAGGGCCCAAGGACTTGGGCCATCCTCCACTGCCTTCCCAGGCCACAGCAGAGAGCTGGACTGGAAGAGGAGCAACCGGGACAGAATCCGGCACCCCGACTGGAACTAGAACCCATATGCTAGGGGCTGGCGCCGTGCCTCACTTGGTTAATCCTCTGCCTGTGGTGCCGGCATCCCATATGGATGCCGGGTTCTGGTCCAGGTTGCTCCTCTTCCAGTCCAGCTCTCTGCTGTGGCCCGGGAAGGCAATGGAGGATGGCCCAAGTTCTTGGGCCCCTGCACCCGCATGGGAGACAAGGAAGAAACACCTGGCTCCTGGCTTCGGATCAGCACAGCACCAGCCATGGCGGCCATTTGGGGAGTGAACCAACGGAAGGAAGACCTTTCTCTCTGTCTCTCTCTCTCACTATCTATAACTCTACCTGTCAAAAAAAAAAAAAAGATATTAGTGCTAAAACCTAACAACTATAGCATAGAAAAATAATAAAATTAAATACTAATCTCATTTTTAAATATCAATGCAAAAATGTTAAAGTAGTAGACATGAACCCCAAAATATGTTAAAAGAATGGTAAAGGTGGACATTGTGGTACAGCATGTTCAGTCACTGCTTGGAATGCCCATGTCCTCTATCAGAGTGCCAATTCGAGTCCCAACTGCTCTGTTTCCAATCCAGCTTCCTGCTAGTGCATCCTGGGTGGCGGCGAATGATGGCTCAAGTGCTTGGGCCACTGCTACCCATGTGGAAGACCCATAGGGAGTTTCTGTCTCCTGGGTGGCGGCGAATGATGGCTCAAGTGCTTGGGCCACTGCCACCCATGTGGAAGACCCATAGGGAGTTTCTGTCTCCTGGCTTTGATCTGGGCCAACTCTGGCTATTGTAAGCACTTGGGGAATGAACCAGTGGAAGGTTTCTATCTCTTCTCTTCCTCTCTCTTTCTTTCTCTCTCTCCCTCCCCAAGTAGATGAAAATAAATAAGCATGTTAAGAAAATACTACATGGGCTGGCATTGTGGCATAATGGGTTAAGTAGCCACCTGTGACACCAGCATCCTATACCGGAACTGATTTGAGTCTCGGCTGCTCCACTTCCAATGCAGCTCCCTGCTAATGTACCCGGAAAAGCAGCAGAGGAGGGCCCAAGTGCTTGGGCCCCTGCACCCATATCAGAGACCTGGAAGAAGTGCCTGGCTCCTGGCTTCAACCTGGCCCAGCACCAGCTGTTGCAGCCATTTGGGGAGTGAACCAAAAATGGAAGATCTGTGTGTGTATGTCTCCCTCTTTCTGTAAGTCTGACTTTCAAATACATAAATAAATCTTTAAAAACAGAGATGGGGCCAGTGCTGTGACATAGCAGGTAATGTGTGATGATTCTGACTGCTCACCATCTTCACCAATCTTTTAACATCTTTGAGCTACATCAGCTGACCATATACTGTGTTCTGGATCTATTTTTGGACTCCATTTTTCTGCAGTAATCTGTCCTAATGCTAGCCCTAAAGTGTCTTGATTGCTGTCCCTTTACCATAAAAGTGTTAAGTAGGTAGATTTACAGTTTCGATGTGTCTTCTCCAAAACTCAGAAGTGAAATTTAATGGCCAGTGTGGCAGCTTAAGTAGTAGGCCTCTAACAGGTGGTGTGGCCATTCAGCTTCTCCTCCCATGAATGGGATTAAGGCCCCCATGAAAGCAGCATTAGGTTCTCTCGCCCTGCCACACTCACCAGCCCATACATAATCCATAACTTTGGGACATCTCCATTCACTTGGACCTTCCTGATTTCTCTGTTTTCTAGTTTTCAGTGTGTATATCTTGCACCTGAATTCATTCCTAAGTATTGTAATCTTTGAATTGTTTTCCTTGTTCTTTACCACAACTATAAACCTCCCTTTAAGCCCTGCTTTAGCTGCCTTTCATAAATTTTGATATATTGTATTTTCATTTTTATTCAGTTCAAAATATTTTCTAATTTCCTTGTGCTTTCTTTGATTCATGGGTTACTTGGAAGTGTGCTGTTTGATTTCCAAGTACTCGGGATTTTCTTTACTGTCTTATTATTGATTTCTGACTTCCTTTCACTGTGATCTAAGAATATCCGCTCAGATTTCAATCTTGAAATTTATGATACTTTGTGTTCATACTGAATTTTTGTCTCCCTCTTCCAGAGTGTATTTGTGTATTTCTGTGTGTGTACACACACTCAAGTATTTAGTGTCTTCTATATGAAAGAAGGATATTAAAATCTTCCATTACAGGTTGGGTGTTTAGCCTAGCACATCCCATATTGGAGTACTGGAGTCTGATAGCTGGTTTCAACTGAGGACTGCAGCTTCCCGCTGGTGCCTTCCCTGGGAGGCAGCAGTAAGGGCTCAAGAAGCTGGGCTCCTGCACCCTCATGGGAGACCTGGATGGAGCTCCTGGCTCCAATCTTCATCCTTGGCCCAGCCCTGGCTGTTGTGGGCATTTGGAGAGTGTGACCCAGTGGATGAAAGCTCTGTTTCTCTTTCTCTCTCCACACCACCCAACAATACATTTTTTAAATTAAGTCTTCAGTTATGATTTTGTAGTTGTCCTTCCCTCCTTCCCCATAGTACTTTTTGTTGCTTCATAAGTGTTGAAGTTCTGGTATAAGGCACTTACACATTTATGCTTATTCTTGCTTCTTGAGGAATTAACCCATCAGTCATGGTGCAGTGTCCCCTTGTGTAAATCTCTGAGTGTGCCCCCTCCCTTGAAGTCTGCATTGTTATTACTTCAGCCCACACCAGCTTTCTCATGCTTAGTAATTGTCACATCTTTTATTTTTAACCTATGCATGTATTTGGAGTCCCTTGTAGAGCAAATATAGCTGGATCATGATTTTTTAATTTAGTCTGACAATTGCTGCCTTTTAATTTGAATGATTGGTCCATTTATATTTTCTAAAGATTTATTTATTTTAAAGGCAGGAGAGAGAGAGAGAGAGAAAGAGAGAGAGAGAGAGAGAGAGAGAGAGAGAGAAGGGAAGGGAAGGGAAGGGAGGGGAGGGGAAGGGAGGGGAAGGGAGGGGAGGGGAAGGGAGGGGAAGGGAGGGGAGGGGAGGGGAGGGGAAGGGAGGGGAAGGGAGGGGAGAAGAGAGACAGAAATCTTCCATGCACTGGTTCACTCCTCATAGCTGGGGCTGGGGCTGGGCCAGGCTGAAGCCAGGAGCCAGGAGCTTTTCTGGGTCTCCCAGATAGATCCAGGGCCAAGCACTTGGGCCATCCTCTGTTGCTTTCCCAGGCCATTAGTAGGGAGCTGGAGCAGAAGTACAGCAGCCAGAACTCAAACCGGTGCCCATACGGATACCAGTGTTGGAAGCAGCAGCTCATCCCACTATGCCACAGCGCCAGCCCCAGGCCATTTACATTTAACAGCATCATCAGTGTGGCTAGAAATAAAATTTAATATTCTATTTTAATTCCTTTTTGTTCTGGAAATTCTTATATATGTTCTTAACCTATCACACTACTTTATGTAATAAGTAAGTCCTTTCCCACATTTTCCCCTTCCATCTTTTGGATTATATTTTTTTAAGATTTTATTTATTTATTTGAGAGTAGAGTTACAGACAGTGAGAGGGAGAGACAGAGAGAAAGGTCTTCCTTCCACTGGTTCACTCCCCACATGGCTGCAACGGCCAGAGCTGCACCGATCTGAAGCCAGGAGCCAGGAGCTTCTTCCGGGTCTCCCACATGGGTGCAGAGGTCCAAGCACTTGGCATCTTCCACTGCTTTCCCAAGCCACAGCAGAGAGCTGAATGGGAAGAGGAGCAGCCAGGACTCGAACCGACACCCATATGGGATGTCAGCACCGCAGGCAAAGGATGAACCTACTGCGCCATGGCGCCGGCCCCAGATTATTTCTATCATATTTTACATCTGCATACATTAGAGACTCCAACACATAGTCATATAATTTTTTTGCTTTATTGCCTTTCTTTTATAAAAAAAATACTTTTTTAGAGAGAGAGAGAGAGAGAGCCCCCACCACTGGTTCACTCAACAAATGCCTACAGCGGCCCAGGCTGGGTCTGGGCCAACACCAGGAGCTGGGAACACAATTGACATCTCCCATATGTGTGGCAGGAGTCCACACCTGAGCCGTCCCTGCTGCCTCCCAGAGTCTGCATCGTGAGAAGCTGGAGTCAGGACCCAAAGCTGGGTGTCAGACCCAGGCATTTTAATACAAGACGTAAGCAGCTTAATTGGTGTCTTATTTGCTAGCCAAATCTCACCCCTTATTGACTTTTAATGAAATTAAGATACGGGATAGGTGTTTGGCCTAGTAGTTAAGTGCTGTTTGGGACACTCATATCACATATCCGAACACCTGGGTTCAGACCCTGGCTCCACTCTTAAGCTGAGTTCTCAGCTAATGCGCACTCTGGCAGCCAGTAGGTGCCAGCTCAAGTAGCTGGGTCCCTGCCACTCCCATGGGAGACCCAAACTGAATTCCTGGCTCCCAGCTTGGGCCTGGCCCAACCTCAGCTGTTGCAGGCATTGGGGGTATAAATCAGCAGATGGGAGCTCTCTCTCTCTCTCTGTGTGTGTGTGTGTGTGTGTGTGCATGTGTATCTCTTGCTCTTAGATAAATAAAATAATATTTATTTAAAAATTAAAACCTGGGGCTGGTGCTGTGGTGCAGTAGGCTAGACCTCCACCTGTGGCACGGGCATCCCATATGGACACCGGTTCTAGTCCCAGCTGCTCCTCTTCCTATCCAGCTCTCTGCTATGGCCTGGGAAAGTAGTAGAAGTTGGCCCAAACGCTTGGGCCTCTGCACCCACATAGGAGACCCAGGAAAACTCCTGGCTGCTGGCTTAAGATTGGCCCAGATCCAGCTGTTGTGGCCATTTGAGAGTGAACCAGTGGATGGAAGGCTTTTTTCTCTCCCTCTCTGTCTATAACTCTACCTCTCAAATAAATAAATAAAATATTTTTAAAAAATTGAAAACTATGATGCCAGCATCCCTTATAGGTACTGGTTCATGTCCTGGCTGTTCCACTTCTGATCCACCTCCCTGCTAATGTGCTGAGAAAAGCAGTGGGCGGTGGCCCAAGTGATTGGGCCCATGTGCCCACATGGGAGACCTAGATGAAGCTCCTGGCTTCAGCCTGGCTCAGGCCTGCCTATTGTAGCCATCTAGGGAGTGAACCAGTGCATGGAAGATATCTCTCTCTCTCTCTCTCTCTCTCTCTCTCTCTTCATCTTTTTCTCTTCCTTCCCCCTGTAACTCTGACTTTCAAATAAATAAATATTTTTTAGAATTAAAAGCTAAAACTGAATGCAAAATTAAGATTAAAAACTGTACAACATTTTCTGTTTACCCATTTATTTTAATTGCCTCTCTGGTGCTCATCATTCTTTTAGGTTGAAGTTTCCATGTGGATTCCTTTTCACTCTGAAGAGCTTTCTTCAGCATTCCTTATTAGGTCTGCTGGTGATAGTTTTGTTTATCAGCAAATGTTTTTATTTCACCTGTATTTGGGGGGGGGGATATTATCACTGGCCACAGAGTTCTGGATTGACTGTTTTTCTATTACTAGTTTTTGTTTTTAATTTTTTTATTTATTTATTTGAGAGACAGAGTTACAGAGAGAAAGAGGGAGAAACAGAGAGAAAGGTCTTCCTTCAGCTGGGCTGAACAGAAGCCAGGAGCTTCTTCAGGATCTCCCCCTTGGGTGCAGGGGCCCAGTGACTTGGGTCATCTTCTACTGCTTTCTGGATCAGAAGAAGAGCAGCTGGGACTTAAACCAGCACCCATATGGTTTGCCAGTGCCACAGAGAGAGGCTTACCTACTATGCCACAGTGGCCAGCTCCCTCTTTCACTAGCTTTTTTTTTTTTTTAAGATTTATTTATTTAATTTTAAAGGCAGAGTTGGTGTGGGGAGGGGTTTTCCATCTGAGGGTTTGCTCCCCAGATAGTCACAATGGCTGGAGCTGGGCCAATCTGAAGCCAGGAACCAGGAGTTTCTTCTGGGTCTCCCAGGTGGGTGCAGGGGCCCAAGGACTTGGGCCATCTTCTACTGCTTTCCCAGGCCATAGCAGAGAGCTGGATTGGAAGTGGAGCAGCCGGGACTTGAACTGGTGCCCATACGAGATGCCAGCACTGCAGGCGGTGGCTTTACCCACTATGCCACAGTGCCAGCCCCCACTAGTTTTAAGATGCCATTTTATTATCTTCTACCCTCTTGTTTGTGATAAGAAATTAGCCATTATTCACACTGCTGCCCTCTTAAGTAATATATTTTGTTCCTTTGGCTTTCAAGATTTTCTCTTGTATTTTCAACAGTGTCACAGTACTGTGTGTGTTGTATGCATGTGTGTATCTCCTGCTTGGGTTTTGCTGAGTTTCTCAAATTTGTAAATTAATAGTTGTCATAAAATTTCTGCAATTTTTTGCATATTTTTCTATTCCAATCTCTTTCTTTGTGATTCTATTGATATGTATATGAGCCATTTGATATCATTCAACAGATCACTAAGGCTCTGTTTATCAATAATTTTTTTCTGTGTTCTTGAGTTTAGTTCTGTCTTTGTGTTTATTGGCTGTTTTTTCTGCCAGTTTCCTAACCATGGGTGTGGCCACCAGTGAATTTTTCAGTTCCTATAATGAACTAAAATTTAAGTTTGGAAATTTGGATCTTTTTAAATATTTTACGGTTTCCAGTTTTCTGTCATGATGTCTCATCTATTCAATGATAACTATCATTTCCTATTAGACCTTTAATATAGCTGTAATAGCTGCATTGGAGTCCTTTGCCCATTGAAATGTGTGTGAGGCAACTTGGAATCAGTTTCTATTGATTGCTTTTTTTTTTTTTTTTTTTTTTTTTTTTTTTTTTGCCCATGGGGCCCACTTTTTTATTTCTTCACATGCCTAGTAAATTTTATGGATAGTAGACATTGTAGCTAATCGTGTGAAGAGTATCAATTTGTGTCCTAGAAGTCAGATAAATTACTAGCTCATCACCTTACACTTAAAGATCTGCTTTTTACTTGCTAGGTGGGCTGTTTCAGTTTTGCTCTTAGTCTTAGGGCAAGTTTTTTTAAGTATTTATTTGAAAGGCAGAGTTGCAGAGAGAGTGAGTAAGAGACAGAGATTGTCTGTCTGCCGGCTCACTCTCCAAACAGCCACAATGGCCAGGGCTGAGCCAGGCAAAATCTAGGAGCCAGGAACTCCATCCAGGTCTCCCCCATGTGTGGCAAGGGTCCCAGCACCTGGGCCATCTTCTACTGCTTTCCCAGGTGCATTAGCAGGGAGCTGGATCAGAAGTGGAGCAGCAGCCGGTTCTCCCAGGTGGCAGCTTAACCTGCTGCTCCACAACACGTGCCACGCGGCAGACTCTGAACCCTGGGATGCAGTCTGTACTCCCAAGTCGTGAGAATCAGGGAAAGCCTGAGGTTAGTTCTGTAACCCCTGTAGCTTCATGGGATTCCAGCTCCAGTTTGTGTCTCCCCAACAATAAACAGCAGCTGAAATCTTTGCTCAGCGGTTGCTCATTGGTGGATTCTGGAGATTCTCCCACACATGTAGAGTTCAAGGGGCAGCCGGGGCCAAGGGAGCTTAAAGATGTGCACCCCTTGCTCTATGGCTCATTTTGGAATCACTCCCAAGACTTTGATTCACTCTGACACCCCAGCCTTTGTCTTCTGTCGTCTCAGCTCAATAAGAATGGGGCTTGTAGAAGATGCCCCAAGGGGCTGGCGCTGTGGCACAATAGGTTAACACCCTGGCCTGAAGCACCGGCATCCCATATTTGTGCTGGTTCGGGACCCAGCTGCTCCACTTCCGATCCAGCTCTCTACTATGGCCTGGAATAGCAGGAGAAGATGGCCCAAGTCCTTGGGCCCCTGCACCCACCTGGGAGACCCAGAAGAAGCTGCTGGCCCCTGGCTTCGAATCGGCACAGCTCTGGCCATTGCAGCCATTTGGGGAGTGAACCAGCAGATAGAAGACCTTTTTCCTCTGTCTCTCCCTCTCATTGTCTATAACTCTACCTCTCAGATAAATAAATAAAAATCTATTAAAAAGAATGGGGCTTAACTTCCAGCCACCCCATGTCACGAAGTCCAGGGAGGACCCTCAAGAGAAAAGCTGGGTACGTGGAGACGTCACCTAGGATGGTGCCTTTCTTTCACGGGTTGAATCTCTCCCGTTTCTGCCGGCTCTGGCTACTCTTCAGTGTCTTGCTGTTGTTTTTATAGCTGACCCAGAATCTCTCATCGTCACCCACGGCTGGTTAGTCCAGGGCAGCTATTCCATCCCTGCCAGAACCGGAACTCACTTTTCTGGCCCTTCTTCAACTATCGATGGGTTTTTCAAAGTTACATTCACCCTCTCAAAATTTAAATTTTCAGCCCTTGTTGACATAGCAACTAAGATTTACTCACCTTTGTGGTGAAAGTTGACCTAGTGTAATTTTCCATGAGGGGGCTTCAAAAAGTTACAGAAAACTTGCATTAGTTTTGATTCCAATGTTCTGTAAATTTTTGAAGCCCCCTTGTGTATGGATGCACGTTAACATTACTTATTTAGAAAAAGTAATGAGCATTTGTAGCATTCCCCCTAATTCCTTAAAATTTTCACCAACATTGTCTGGATTTAGCTAGCTTAAATATTTTTAATGTTTATTTTTTCATCTACTTAAAAGGCAGAGTGAAAGAGAAAGAAGGGTGGTGGGGGGAGCTTCCATCTGCTGGTTCTGTCCTCAGATGCCCACAACATCGGAGGCTGGGCCAAGCCAAAACCAGGAGCCCAGAACCCCATCCAGGTCTCCCATGTGGGTGGCAGGCACCCAAGTACTTGAGCCATCATCTGCCTTCTGGGGTGTGCACTAGCAGGAAGCTGGAGCAAAAATGGAGTAGCCGGAACTCAGACCACACACTCCAGTATGGGATGTAGGAGTCATAAGCAGTAGCTTAACCCACTGTGCTTTAATATCCGCCTCAACTTATTGAAGTCTTTAAAACCATGTGCCATAGTAATCTCTCTGAAATGTTTGCAAATGTGGTATATGCCATGTACTCTATATCTTAAGATTAACGGCCCTAACTGTAGCCTCCAAATTTGGTGAAAATGTATTCATTATGCAGTAACAAATAGATACTCAGAAGTTGAGAAGTGGGCAGTTGGCATACTAACGAGATGCCAGGTAGAATGTCCCTGTGCCACATCAGAGTGCCACAGTCCAACTCCTGGCTCCAGCTCCTGATCCCAGCTTCCTGTGAATATAGACCCTGGGAGGTAACAGGCAACAGGCGATGGCTCAAGTACCTGGGTTCCTGCCACCCATGTGGGAGACCTGGGCTGAGTTCCATACTCTGAGCTTTGGCCCCCAACCGTCACAGGCATTTAGGGAGTGAACTGGCATATGGGAGCTTGCTCTGTCTCTGTCTCTGTCTCTGTCTCTTTCTTTCTCTCTCTCTCCATCTTTATTTTCTCTGTCTTGCAAATAAATCAGCAAGTATTTTAAAACAGAAGTAGAAGAAGAAGTCATCATCATCAATGACATTTGTCCGCAGCCCTGTGACATCCATCTGTGTTTAAGGTCACCCCTGGCTGCTCTGCCCTCACACTCATAAATGGGCACCTGAATCTAAGTGAAGGAACAGTTGAGTCAATCATTTATGGGTTTGTAGATATTTTTTGGCAGGGAAAAGAACCTATCCAACTCTCATTGATGTTGATTTCAACTCACAGGTTTTTTGTTATAATCTTGTTTGCTGTCACCATTGTCTGGGTCCCTATTATGAACACGCTCCAGAGCGAAACACTCTATGAATACAAGCAGGCAGTCAGGAGTTACTTGACGCCGCCCATTACTGCCATCTTCCTACTTGCCATCTTTTGCAAGAGAGTCAATGAGAAGGTGGGTGTCGGCACGGCCACCACAGGGGGTGGTGGGAGGGGCTTTGCTTTCACACTGGCATAGGCTTTGCAGGAGTCGCCCTAGGAGGGTGTCCTGCGCTTCCGGAGTTCCCACTGTGGGGTCGTTTGCTCCCTGAGAGATTATTTCCTCCTCGATGGCAAACCTGGTCCAAGCTCCCTCTTGTGCATTGAGGGGAAGGGAGAGCTCTCATTCGCTGTCCTGCCTTTATGATGTAATCCACGCTCACCCATGCCTCAGATGGTGCAAAATGGCCCTGATTCTCCCTCACTCGCTCATATTTGGCTGTAGGAAGATTTCCTTCTGTTGCTCATGGATGCATTGTGCTCAGAGACTTCATCCTGCACAGAAACAGCCTCCTCCCACCTTCCCTCCTGAGGTGATGATTAGTTTGAGCATCCCTTTCAGCCACACTGAAGTTCAAATGAAATCCCAGTTAATGGTTTGATCATTGCATCCTTAAGACTTCGAAAGCACAATTTGCCCAAAAACAAATGTTTGAGTCTTAAACCTTCTTTTGTGAAACAGCGCAGAGCAGCAGAGCCTTCCCCAGGTCCCTGCGCGGTGCTGAAGGACGCTGTGACCTAGCGCTGCCTACCTGTGGGCCTTGGCCTCTCCGTGCCAGGTCCCAGCCACTCCAAACAACCTGTAGTTCTGAGGTCCTTCTCCAGCCACTCCCCACCCCATCGTTTGCATGGACCGTTTGCTTTGCCAGAAATATCTGTTTGCTCCCCCACACCTGGCCAGTGCCTTCTTCCAGACTCATCTCAGGGGCTCCGTTCTCCAGAGCAGGGGTGGAGAACGTTCAGCCCGCAAGCCATGTAAAGCCCTGCCAGGGCAACCACAGGCGAGACTCAAAACTCAATACATCCACAGCATTTTGTGATTTTGTATGGCCTGCAAATGATGTTACAATTACCCAAATGGCCCTTGGCATAAAAACGCCCCCTCCCCCCGCCCTCTCTAGACCAACTGGCTGGAGCAGGACCCCTGCTCCTGCTGCGCCCTCTCAGCGAGATTCACTGTAGCCAGGCATGCGCCCCGAGGACGCCAGAGCTGCTGCTCTGCTCCGCTGGAAGGCACATGGGCAAGCGGAGCAGGAGTGAGGGGATTTTGCCTCCCAGGCACGATGCCGGCCTCAGGGTCTGGGAGCCCAGCACCAGGGAAAATGCTGGGGGCAGAGTCTAGTCGTGGGCTTCCTGCCACCACGCCTAAGGCCAGAGAACTCTCCAGGCCTCTCCCCTGCTATGGCCGGGGGCTCCTCATCTGGCTTCTGCCCTTTGCCTTCAGTAAGTGAGTCCTGCCTTCAGGTCCTACCTCGACGTGCTTGCCTATATACAAGGGGCTTTCAAAAGGTTCATGAAAAATGAATGTTATGGGGAAAAAACTATGCCTGAATTTCAATATTTGGGGCACCAACATAAGCGTATCCTTTACTTCCATTTTCCATGAAGGTTTTGACCTCGCACTGTGTCCTCTGTCTCCTCTGCCATCCGTGCCCCTGAGTCAGGCCCAAGACCGGTCCTCACTCTCACAGAGTAGAGGTGCAGGTAATGGAGGTGGAGGGGACAGACAACACCGCTGAGGAGGTTGAGGTTTCTGACAGTCGTGTGGTGCTGTTTGGGAGAGAAGACAGGGAAAGGGCTCTGGTGCAGTGGTTGAAATGCCACGTGCGACACTACCTCCCGTTTCAGAGTGCCTCGTCCCAAGTCCTGGCTCTGCTCACGATGCCAGCCTCCTGCTAATGTGCACCCCGAGAGGCAGCAGGTGACGGTTCCAACACCTGGGTCCCTGCCAGCCACGCGGGAGACCTGGATTGCATTCCCATTAACTAAGGAGGTGGAAAAAGACCTCTCCAAAGAAGTGACCTTGAATCTGAAACATGAAGGGCAAGACAGAAATACCAAGATCTGGGGAAGCAGACAGATGGGCAAGGGGGAAGACCCCAGCCAGAAACAGAAGGGCAGGCTGGAGGTGTGGGAAGATGGCCGTGATGACCGGAGGGAGAAGACCAAGGAGATAGAGCCGCTGGGCTGGGCTGGGCTGGGGGTGGGGGCGTTGAGGTCTGATTGTGTTGGACGTGGTGGAACGTCATTGGAGGCTTTAGACAAAGGCATGGCATCCCCCAAGGGGAGCCTGGAGAGAGCACTCCATCTCCTGTGAGCAAGCAGGGGACCAGGCAGGGCCCACCTGCTCCTGAGAAGAGCACAGGCCGGGGTTAGGTCTGGGTTGCCGTGGAGATGGTGGCGAGAGCTGGGATCCCAGATTCCTTTGGGAGGCACAGCCAACAGGATCTGGTGAGAGGCGGGACAAGATGGAAAGGAAGGCGGCAGGGATGGCACCTGAGATTTTGACCTGACCAGCCAGGGAGACAGAGGGGCTACTCAGAGGACTGTGGAATACAAGACTCTTTTTTTTTTTTTTTTGACACATTTATTGAGATGCCCGTTCATTATCTCACTCAAGAGTTGTTTTTTTTTTTCTCAAGGACTTTCTTTTTTTTTTTTTTTTTTATCTTTTATTTAATGAATATAAATTTCCAAAGTGCGACTCATGGGTTACAATGGCTTCCCCCCCCATACCGTCCCTCCCACCCACAACCCTCCCCTTTCCCACTCCCTCTCCCCTTCCATTCACATCAAGATTCATTTTCGATTATCTTAATATACAGAAGATCAGCTTAGTATACCTTAAGTAAGGATTTCAACAGTTTGCTCCCACACAGAAACATAAAGTGAAAAATAATAGATGATTTTTTTTAATGATGATGAAATCAGATCAGACCTATTGTCATGTTTAATCCCAGTGAGAGTCAAGTTGGGAATTGATAATTTCTTTCTTTTTTTTTTTTTTAACAGAAGATCAGTTTAGTGTACATTAAGTAAAGATTTCAATCGTTTGCACCCCCACAGAAACACAAAGTGAAATATACTGTTTGAGTACTCGTTATAGCATTAAGCCTCAGTGTACAGCACGTTAAGGACAGAGATCCTACATGAGGAGTAAGTGCACAGTGACTCCTGTTGTTGACTTTACAAATTGACACTCCTGTTTATGGCATCAGTAATCTCCCTATGCACCAGTCATGAGTTTCCAAGGCTATGGAAGCCCCTTGAGTTCTCCGACTCTTATCTTGTTTAGACACGGTCATAGTCAAAGTGGAGGTTCTCTCCTCCCTTCAGAGAAAGGCACCTCCCTCTTTGAAGACCTGTTCTTTCCACTGGGATCTCACTCACAGAGATCTTTTTGCCAGAGTGTCTTGGCTTTCCATGCCTGAAATACTCTCATGGGCTTTTCAGCCAGATCCGAGTGCCTTTAGGGCTGATTCTGAGGCCAGAGTGCTATTTAGGACATCCGCCATTCTATGAGTCTGCTGTCACTCAAGAGTTTTTAAATCCTCTGATTGACCCAAGAGAGTGCAGGCGTCTCAGGCCTGGCATGTCCTCACTGTTGCAAATTCTGCTTCTGTGAGGTCCTGGGATGGCCTCCCCAGGACAAGTTTAAGTTCAGTGGCCTCGTCAGGAGAGTGAGAACGAAGCCAGTCGGTCTCATGGCGTCTCCCTCACAGGTGACTCTGTGGACTCCCTTCTTTGGCAGGGTGCCTTCTGGGGGCTGATTTTGGGCACTGTGATGGGCTTCTCTCGACTGCTGGTCGACTTCATCTTCAGCCAGCCCTGGAGCTGCATGCAGAAGAGCAGGTGTCCTGCCTTCCTCTGCGGCGTGCACTACCTCTACTTCAACTTGATCCTCTTGGCGATCAGCCTGCTCAGCATGCTGGTGATCTCCCTGGCCACGGACCCCATTCCCGACAAACACGTGAGTGCTGCTGGGAGCCCAACCCCAGGGTCCCCAGGGTCCCCAGGGTCCCTGCCTTCTCTCTGGATGTGGGCAAGCTGGGGGTGGGACTGGGGCGGGTCAGAAACAGCCCCAGCACACGGAAAGGACCCTGCCTTTAAACACAGAGCTCAATGGACAGCTCTTCAAAGAGCTGCCGATTAGGTATCCATTCAGATTGAGGAATTTGGCTCTGAAAAAAATGCAAAGTTGCCCTGGCAGTCTTGAGGTCACTCACCTCCACGTGTGAATTATTGTAATCCCAGCAGGCCTAGCAGCTGCCCACCTGGAGGGGATTAAGCCAGCGGGAGGGGGAGGGGCAGTGGTACTGGCAGCTGCCCCTGAGTCACAGCTTAGACGCACAGCCAACCTCCCAGCAGGCAGCTGTCCGGCATGGAAGTTGTTTTTTGTTTGTTTTTTTTTTTTTTTTACAGGCAGAGTGGACAGTGAGAGAGAGAGACAGAGAGCAAGGTCTTCCTTTTGCCGTTGGTTCACCCTCCAATGGCCGCCGCAGCCAGCGCACCGCGCTGATCCGATGGCAGGAGCCAGGAGCCAGGTGCTTTTCCTGGTCTCCCATGGGGTGCAGGGCCCAAGCACCTGGGCCATCCTCCACTGCACTCCCTGGCCACAGCAGAGAGCTGGCCTGGAAGAGGGGCAACCGGGACAGAATCCGGCGCCCCGACCGGGACTAGAACCCGGTGTGCCGGCGCCACTAGGCGGAGGATTAGCCTAGTGAGCCGTGGCGCCGGCCCGGCATGGAAATTTTGAGGCTCTGTTAGAAAGCCTGGGCTTGGCCGGCTCCACGGCTCACTAGGCTATTCCTCCGCCTGTGGTGCCAGCACCCCAGGTTCTAGTCCCAGTCGGGGAGCCGGATTCTGTCCCGGTTGCTCCTCTTCCAGTCCAGCTCTCTGCTGTGGCCCAGGAGTACAGTGGAGGATGGCCCAGGTGCTTGGGTCCTGCACCTGCATGGGAGACCAGGAGGAAGCTCCTGGCTTTGTATCGGCGCAGCATGCTGGCCGCAATGCGCCGGCCATAGCGGCCACTTAGGGGGTGAACCAACGGAAAAAAGGAAGACCTCTCTCTCTCTCTCCCACTCTCTCTCCCACTCTCTCTCTCACTGTCTAAAACAAACAGAAAGCGTGGGCTCAGGGAAGTTGGGTATCTCACCCAAGGTAACAAAACTAGTGGACCTGACCGTAACCTGGCTCTGAAGCCCCACTGTGTCACCTACTCCCACACCTTAGCAGGACAGGGAGTTCCCACCCCACCCCACCCCCACAGACAGCAGCAAGAAGGAGGGTCCTGGAAGTCTATCTGAAGTTGGGGAGTCTCCTCAGAGGCATGGGTATGCAAGGGCTGGGTGCCTTTTCTACAGTGTTGCCCTGGATCTGATCAAAGTTGGGATTCCATCATCAAGGCCAAATCTCAGGGGCAGGGAAACTTGGAAGACTGCCAGCCTCGGGGCTCCCAGCCCCCCAGTAGACTTTGGGTTTCCCCTCTGGCCACTCTCTGTGCCCGGCTTCTATTTAGCTGTTGGAAGAAGGGCAGAGTGAGTAGGGAGAAGTGGTGGATGCTCACGCCCTACTGTGATTGGTCCCTGCCTTGGCAACCACAGTGCAAGGGGGTCTTCCCTGCTCCCAGCACCTTGAGATGCTAGGAGTAGGTAGCTGGCTTTTGTGTTCTGTTGCTCAGGGTCTCTGAGTTTCAGATCATCTTCCTTTCCTGCTGCTCGCATCATCTCAACCTTGTGCCCATGCCCTTTCTCACTTAGCCGAGTGTGTTTTGAGCCACTCCCAGCTGCCTAGCAGCCGCCAGTTTCCTAAAAATGCATGGTGGCTGCCGAGAGGGAGGGGGACATGAGAGGGAAAGTAGCATCCATGGGCCAGTGACCATGTGCCAGGCACCACAAACCCCATCCTGGGGCCAGGTGCATCCACCCTGAGCTGAGCCACAGCCCTCTCTGGGGTCCAGTAGAGGCTTCTAGAATGTCTGAAGCTCTGGGTCCACCCTGCCATGCTCCTCCCAACAACAGCCACCCCCCACCATGCCACCAGAAGTAGATGGGGCGAGGGGTACTTCTGCCTGAAAGGGTGCGTGTTCCTAGAGCCTCACAAGGGAAGGAGCCCCAAGCTCAATGGCCTCCAACTCCTTGCTTTACCCTGAAGGACAGTGAGGCCCAGATGGGTTGAGTCACCCTTTGCCAAAGGCACACAGCCACACGGTACCAGAGCCAGGACTGAAACCCAGACTTCCTGGCTCCTCCACTTTCCCATTCCACATTCCTCCCACCTTCTGTTAGAGTCCCACAGCCAGATCTCCTCCCAATCCATGGGGGCCCTGGTGCCCAGCCTCTGCTGGTCCCGCCTGGTGGTGACACACCCTTGCTCTCCCCCAGCTCCACCGGCTCTGCTGGAGTTTGCGCAACAGCCAGGAGGAAAGGGTGGATCTGAAGGTGGAAATGCGATGGAAGAGACTCTCCAAGTCCCCGCCGCAGCCTGGTGAGAAGGAAGATCCGTGGCCTGGGAGGGGCCCTGCGTGGAGCATGGCGGGTGACATGGCCTGCACCCCCAAAATACGCTCTTATAGGCAGAGTCCCTGTCTTTCATTTTCCCTACAGTACCTCCTGAGATGGTGACTCCAAGAGCATATCTTGGGCAGGAAGGAGGGCCAGCAGACATGCTGGCAGGCCCCTGGGGGTCTGAGATAGGGAGAGGGGACGCAAGGTCGAAGCTGGAGCCAGAGGACCCCAGGTGATGAGCAGGAGGCAGCAGAGGCAAAGACAGCAGCAGTGCTGGGCATCACAGAAACTTTCCCAGGGGCAGGGGTGGTCCACTGAGGCGAATGTTAATGGGCAGAGAGAGGTGAGGCCTGAGAACCAACCCTCACAGACGCTGTGCTGTGCCTCCTGCAGAGCCAGCTGGAGGAGAGGCCAGTGGCACAGGAATTCAAATCCAGAGGGCTCCTTGGAGAGGGCAGGAAGGAATGGGGAGAGAGAGAAAAGCAGCCCCACCTAAGACAGCACCAGAGTCTGGGAGCAAACTGGGTCTCAATCTGAACAGGAAGGCAGAGAGGGTTCCATGGGGAGGCGGAGGCCCTGGGGCCTCCAGAGGGCCAGGAGGGAGCTTTTGGCAGCTGGGGTCAGAAGGGAGTGTTCAGGGCCACCAGGGAGGTGACCTGTACTGATTGGGCCCTGACGCACATGGGGATAAATACGATAATGAGATTAGCCTGAGTCCCCGGCAGAGGTGGGGATGAGCCTGAGAGTCTGGTGGGGGAGGGAAGGTAGCAAAGGGCCTGGCTGAGAAGAGCAGGGTCTGGGGCCCCCTCTCTGCACCTGCCTGGAAGGTGCTCAGGGCACCCTCCTGACACCTGCAGATGGAAGTGTGCGTCTGGCTCCCAGTGCCCGTTGTTCACCCTTCTCCTAGAGTGGGGTGTAAATTGACTGTGGGTGCTCACGATATTCCAGGACTGCCAAAATTATAGCCCATGTGATAGGTACAATTACTAATCCCATTTTAGAAGAGCAGAAACCAAGGCATTGGGTAGTCATGTATTGGCCCCAGGCCTTGTATGTCACCAGTAATGGTCAGCTGGGATTTGCACACAGGCGGTCTAACCCCTGGGCCAGCCAGCTGCCTGTCACACAGCCTGGGCTGTTTGGGTAACAGCTGTGCCTTGGGACTTGCCACTGAATGACCAGTGCCTCTCCCAGAATCCTCTTGTGTCCTGGAAGTTACATGACAGTATGATACAGTGACATGGGCACTTGAGACCAGAAGCAAGAGTCTGATGGCCAGGACTTCTCAGTCCTGACGTCAAATGTCTGTCCCCAGCTGATGGGTTCCAGCTCCCTGATGCCTCTCAGCCAGACTTCTGGGACTGAGACATAGGCGATGGCGCCATGCACACCACAGGGAGCCCGCTCTGACTGACAGGAGGAAACCATTCCCAGGAACACTCTGGGGTCACATTCCAGGCGCTGACTGGGCCCAGGCTGCTGTACCGGAGCTGGCCATGGTGCTGACAGCAGGCCCCAAGGGCAAGCCAGCGCCTACCTCCCGGGCAGCCGCAGGAGTAACAATCAGGCCTGTGGTTAGGCATTTTCAGTCTTTGACTCAGGGAAATGAATGGCCACCTTGGGATTCCAAATTCTTTCAAGGGCCCAGGGATGGCCTTACTCGGGGCCAACCAGTGGGACTGGTAGGTGCCTGGAAAAGACACTCCTTGAGAGGTTGCCAGCGAGAGCAGTGTCTGGTTCTGTGGGTGTAGGGACTCTGTGGGTGTAGGGCTGCCCAGAGGAGCTGCAGAGAGGGAAGCTCCCAGGGAGGGCCCCAGAGACACCACCTCCACTGCTCCATCGAGGGGTGTGGCTCAGCTCAGAGCACTACAGCCCCGAACATCCCACAGTGTGGCCCAGGCCCCTCATTCCCCACTGTCTGTCACATGTCAGCATCTTTCACGCAAGGATGGAGTCTGTGGGCTTTACACAAGACTTGCTGCCGGGAGGTGACAGCCTGAAGGTCCTCCTCCTGACCATCGCCCCTCCCCTCTGTTCCAGAGATGTTCAAGGAGGGCCACTCCTGCATCTGGAGGACTTGGACCCTGTTCTGTGGCCTGGACCCCCAACCAGGCCCCAAGCTGGCCCCAGAAAAGGTGAAGGAGGAGGCTGTGCAGCAGAGGGACCTGTCGCTGGAAGGGGCAGAGGGGCTGGCCCCAGGAGAGGCAGCCAGGAGGTCAGAAGATGCAAAGGGGGGTGGCAGGTGGCCAAAGTCCCTGGTGAAGTGGGTGCTCAATGGCCTCTTGTTCAGCTTGATCACACTTGTGGTTGCCGGCTTCATCTACTATGCCTGAGGCCGCTGTGGCCCAGGGCAGCTGGGAGGGCAGGCAGAGCTGCCCCAGGTTCCAGGGTCCCTGGCATGAAGGGGGTCTAGCATTTCCTCTGGGAATGCCCAAGGACATGGGGCCAAGAATGGCTGTAATGAGAACACTCCCTCAGTGTCAGATGTCAAGTGCCACTAGCCACAAGGCCTGTGTGCCGGGCAGGACAGAGTGAAGTCCATTTGCGATGATATACTATGCAAATGAGAACAGCTGTTCCTTTGCAGAATGAGTCATTTTCTCCAAATGTTTCTCCTGCATAAACACTGACTTTCACTTTAAATTTAATTTTGGCTTTTTATCTCTAGATATATTTGGGGTTTTTGCTTGTGTTTACTTGACTCTCACCATCTCTCTCCAACCTCTGTCACTTTGTTCTTCGTTCGTTTTTGAAGGTACGGTCCTGCTGGCAAAGACGTTGTACTGTACAAGCCCTGCCCTGCCCCCTGTGCCACCCCATCAGGGGATGTCAGCCACAGGTGCTATGAGTGCTGATGACCACACAGGCCATGGAGCCACAGCCTGGACCAGGCACAACGGGCTTCCCACAGCTCAGCATGGGCGGGGGACGGGGGCGGGCACCTGCCACACATGGGTACAGGCTTGGTCTGTCTGTGGCGAGGACGGCCACTCTATAGGGATTCCCTAAACCTCCCCTTCCTCCTCCTTATTCTCAGGCCAGAATACATATCTGTGTCTTTAGGAGAAGTTTCCCACACCCTGACGTGGTGTGGGGGCAGCCTAGCCAGCACCATGCAAAGCACCCTGAAGGCTCCTCGAGGACCTGCCCTCACCTCTCTTTCAACCTCATGTGACAGTTTCGAGGGCCCACTCTATGCCAGCCACTGTGTTGCGCTCCAGGAAAACAGCTATGCGTGGAGCACAGGGACCTGCTCTGAGGGCATGCAGTCAAGGGAGAGACACTAATAGCTGGCGTCTCGCACGCCCTGCTGTTCTTGTACCAGGGCAAGTGCATTATCACGTTCAAGCCATAGAACCACCCTTGGGGGAGGATTAGGGTTAAACACATTTCACAAGGGAAGAGACTGGAGGGTGGGCATGAGGCCCCACTCTTGCCTGTCATGCAGTGTGTGTGCTGCAGGAGCGCCCAGCAGGGGATCACAGAGGGGATAGCACGTCGGAAGACATGGGCTGGGGCTCAAGGCATGTCACATATATGGGAGGACAGTCGGGGTTTTTCCATTGCCTTAGGATCCTAAGTGTCCAAGAGTGGATGCAGGGAGGTGATGGGATGAGATTTGCCAGGATGCTGCTGGGAAGACAAGGAGACTGTTCAGGAGACTGCTAGAGCATGCAGGCAAGTTAGTGACAGAGAGGCAAAGAGAAGAGCCTTTTGCAGGGAGGGCCCCAGGGTGACTGGCTTGAGCATGTGGAGACTGGCCACACTGGGGGAAGGTCTCTGTTTCCCGTGTGTTGGGTCTCAGCTGCATGCCGTTATTTATTACCATCTTGGTAGCACTCGGTCTTCTGATCCATGAACATGGGCTATCTTTCCTTTTCTTTTGGTCTTTACAATGCTTTGTTTTTCAGAGCCAAAGTATTGCCCTTCTTTTTTTTTAACTTTTATTTAATGAATATAGATTTCCAAAGTACAGTTTATGGACTACATTGGCTTCCCCCCCCCAATGACTTCCCTCCCACCAGCAACCCTCCCCTTTCCCGCTCTCTTTCCCCTTCCATTCATATCAAGATTCATTTTCAATTTTCTATATATACAGAAGATCAGTTTAGTATACATTAAGTAAATATTTCAACAGTTTGCACCCACATAGAAACACCAAGTGAAAAATACTGTTTGAGTACTCATTATAGCATTAAATCTCAATGTATAGCACATTAAGGACAGAGATCCTACATGAGGAGTAAGTGCACAGTGACTCCTGTTGTTGACTTTACAAAATGACACTCCTGTTTATGGCATCAGTAATCTCCCTATGCTCCAGTCATGAATTTCCAAGGCTATGGTCTTGCCCTTCTTTTGTCAATTTTATTTCTAAGTGTTTTTGTTCTTTTTGATGCTACCATAAGTGAAATTTTCTTTCTTTTTAAAAAAAAATATTTATTTATTTATTTATTTATTTATTTATTTGAAAGGCAGAGTTACAGAGAGGCAGAGGCAGAGAGAGAGTCTTCCATCCACTGGTTCACTCCCCCAGATGGCTGCAAATAACTGGAGCTACACTGAGCAGAAGCCAGGAGCCAGGAGATTCTTTCAGGTCTCCCATGTAGGTGCAGGAACCCAAAGACTTGGGCCATCTTCTACTGCTTTCCCAGGCCACACCAGAGAGGTGGATCAGAAGTGGAGCAGCCAGGACTCATATGGGATGCTGGTACTGCAGACCAGGGCTTTAACCCACTGTGCTACAGCACCGGCCCCAAAATTGTTTTCTTAATTTTATTTTTGGGTGGTTCGTCGGTAGCATATACACAGTTGATTTTTGTATTGCGACCTTGTGTCTTGCAACATTGCTGAACTTGTTCTAACTAGTTCTCATGGTTTTTAAGTGCATATCCTTGAGATCTTTTCTTAGGTAAGATCATGAAATCTGTAAACAGAGACAGTTCACACCTTTCTTTCTGATCTGAAAGCCTTTTATTTCTGCATCTAGAACCTCCAAAATGTGGTTGAGCAGAAATGGCAAGACATCCTTGCCTTGTTCCTGATCTCTGGGAGAAAGCAGTCAATTTTTCATCATAAAATATGTGTTGCCAGCTGTGAGTTTTTGCAGTTTTTAAAATCATGTTGAGGAAGTTCCCATCTATTCCTAGTTTGCTGAGTGTTTTTAATCAGGAATGGGAGTTGAATTTTTGTGGAATGCTTTACATCTTTTTTAAGATTTATTTATTTACTTATTTATTTATTTATTTGAAAGGTGGGGCAGACAGAGATCTTTCATCTGCTTGTTCACTCCCCAGATGGCCACAACAGCCAGGGCTGAACCAGGCCAAACCCAGGAGCCAGGAGCCCCATCTAGGTCTCCCACATGTGTGGCAGGGGCCCAAACACTTAGGCCACCTTCTGCTGCTTTTCCCAGGCCATCAGCAGGGAGCTGGGTGGGAAAGGGAGCAGCAAACCAGCACCTGTATGGGATGCCAGCGTTGCAAGTAGCGGCTTTACCTGCTATTCCACAAAGCCTGTCTGCATCTGTTAAGATGATCTTGTGGGGGCCGGTGCTACAGGTAAAGCCGCAGCCTGCAGTGTGGCATCCCATGTGGGCACCAGTTCGAATCTCAGCTGTTCCTCTCCCAATCCAGTTCTCTGCTATGGACTGGGAGGGCAGTGGAAGATGGCCCAAGTCCTTGGGCCCCTGCACCCGCGTGGGAGACCTGGAAGAAGCTCCTGACTCCTGCCTTTGGATCTGAGCAGCTCCAGGCGTTGCAGCCATCTGGGGAGTGAACCATCAGATGGAAGACCTCTCTATCTCCCTCTCTCTCTCTCTCTTTTACTCTCTCTGCCTCTACCTTTCTGTAACTCTGCCTTTCATATAAATAAATAAATTTTTTAAAAAAAGATGATCCTGTGATTTTTGTCCTGTATTCTATCTCTGTGGTGTGTGACATTAATTGATTCTCCTATGTTAAACCAAGCCTGCATTCCTGGGGCAAGTCCCACTTGGTCGTGGTATTTATCCTTCTTATATGTTGCTGGACTTGGTTTGCTAATTTGAGTTTTTGTGTCTGTATCCACAAGGAATGTTGGTCTATAGGTCTCTTTCCTTGTGCTGTCTTTGTGGTATCAGGGTAGTAGCAAAGAGTTAGAAAAAGCTCCCTTCTCTTTATTCTTTGGGAGTGTGTGAAGGACTGCTCTTAATTGTCCCCAGAGACTATTTTTAAAGTAGTATTTATTTATTTATTTATTTACTTGAGAGGCAGAGTTACAGACAGAAAGAGGGAGACAGAGAGAAAGGTCTTCCATCTGCTGGTTCACTCTGCAAATGGCAGCAACTGCTGGAACTGTACCAATCTGAAGCCAGGAGCTTCTTCCAGGTCTCCCATGTGGGTGCAGGGGCCCAAGCACTTGGGCCATCTTCTACTGCTTTCCTAGGCCATCAGCAGGAAGCTGGATCGGAAGTAGAGAAGCTGGGACTCAAATTGGCGCTCATTGGGATGCTGCCAGAGCCACACACACACACCCCAAGGCCGGGGGGACATATAAGGGTAGATGCTAGCTTGGAGTTAAGGGTCCAGGGGAGAGAGGGCAGAGGTCAGGCCCAGGTAAGAAGGAAGCCAGGCAGATGAGACAGTGCAGAGGAAGTGGGAGTAAGGAGGGCCTCGACAGGACCGTGAGAAACACTGACACTGTGAGAAGGTACAGAGAGGAGGTGTTCTACAAAGGGGGCCAGGGCCAGCAGGAGGGGAGGAGCCAGCCTGCTGTGAGTTGAGGAGCAGCTGGGACACAAGAAAGGCAAGCTCCCTGAGCACCTGTTTCACTGAAGGATAAAAAATCTCCTTTTCTAAAGGATGGGATCGAAGCTGAAACCCCAGCTAGGCCCAGCAGCCAGCCCCTTCCAAACAAGAGAGCCTCGCTGGGCTGATCCTTTAATTCCAGTGACACTAACCTCCCTGTGTTTCCGGGAGGGGAAATGGGGGGCCCCTGGGGCTCACAGCAAGGACCACAAGAAGAGGCTCTGGTTTTGCTGATAATGTGTATTCTGGGAGGAGTGGGCTTCCCACAGGAAACAAGACTGCCCAGCGGTGACGTGGGTGAGAGAAGCCCCTGCCAAAGAGCCAGAAGCGTCTGTGAGCTTCTGGGGGACAATTAAGGCACCCGCCCAGCCCCCAGCCCCAATGCTAAGCTCTGCACCCACAGCAACTGAAGTGGCAGCCGCTCTGCCAAAGCAAAACCAACCCCTTGCCAGCCAGCAGGGCTGCGGAGACCAAGGGGGGCCTCCTGAGCACCCCCGGCATCGTCGCCATGCCTCAGGCTCCCCCTCACCACCACCTGGCTCTCCCCTTCCGTGAGCCCTCCAGCCTCTTAGCTGGCCTCCCCGCAGGGAGAGAAGCAGCAGGGGCCAGGGTGGGAGGCTCAGCATAGGGTGGAGGGGATGGCATGGTCAGCTTCAGGCCAGGCCCGGAGCCTGCTCACCTGACCTCCTTGCTTAGGGGAAGACCACAGTTTGTTGGGTGTGTATGGGGGAGGGGGGTATAGGATCTTATCCAGGACACCAGAACCATCCCTCTGTCCTGAGTGCTCACCCCTAAGGGGAGAGCCCCCTTGAGCCATACTTTTCCTCTTCCTTCTGGCTCTCTGGTGTGGGGGAGGGGCAGGGCACCCCAGCTTGGCTGCTGCCTGCTCTGGCTGCTCCTTCCTTCCCCCAACACAGCTCCCTTGCCCTCACCCCTGGCCCTGCAGCTCTGAACACTGCTCTCTACCGCCATAGGGGTCCCTGGGCCCCAGCAGAGAACAGAGCTCCAGAACCCACCTACAATCCATGTCTGGCCCCAGGGTTCTGCCTGTGCCCCCCGCCCCGGGTGGCCCCTCTGGGCCCAATGTCACCCCTTAGGCAGGACAAAGGAGGTGAGGTCTTGCTCCAGGAACACAAAGAGGCATTTAGACCTGAGGCAGAGACTTAGTCCTTTTATTCAGGTGTGGAGGCGGCGGCTTGTGGGGTCTGGCCCCACGAGGGGCTCAGGGCTTCCACTCGATGACACTGATGGCGATCTGGGCGGCCCGCTGTATGGCCTCATTGTGCTCCACCTCGAGGACACGGAAAGCATGCACGTGGGACTGCAGGTACCTGCGGCCCTCGGGGGCCTCAGCCAGCATGGTGAGGGCCTTGGCAGCGTTCAGGCGCACCTTGCTCTTGGGCGACGACAGCAGCGCCAAGAGTGGGGGAATGGCTTCTGCGTCCAGGGCCGCGTACTTCCCTGCAGGCCACCAACACCAGGTTTTGTTACCAAGCTGGCTGCAGGGGGGCATTCTTCCCCATCTCCCAGCCCCACCCTCTGCCTAGCAGTCTTTAGGGGAGGAACCACCCTGGGCTCCCTCTGTCACCCCACCTTCCTGCACCTTCCAGAATCTGGCCTGGGCCAGGCCCCTTCAGTTCCCTGCCCTTCCTGTCCCTAACACTTCTCCCCATCCACCTTTTTATCCTGTCCTGCAAATCCAGTCCTCCCAGGACAGCATGAATGTTCTTTTGAACATTCATTTGTAAATTCAGATGGCAAGGTTAAGCCACCACTTGGAATGTTGGCATTCCATACAGGAACGCTGGTTCAAGTCCCAGCTGCTCTGTTTCTGATCCAGCTCTCTGCTAATGGCTGGGAAAGCAGCGGAGGACAGCCTATGTGCTTGGGCCCCCTGCGCCCATGTGGGAGACCTGGAAGAAGCTCCTGGTTCCTGGCTTCAGATTGTCCCAGCTCTGCCTCTGCCTCTCCCTCTCGCTGTAATTCTATCTCTCAAATAAAAAAATAAGTAAATTTTTAAAATGTAAACCCAGTCATTCCTTTAGGTGGCAAATATTTCCTGAGTCCCTTCCCTGCACCAGGCAACAAAAACATAAGACTCTCGCCCTCCCAGTGCCCAGCCTGGTGGGAACAGACATTGACACCTGAGGGAGACACCCCCTGCAGTCATCACTGTCCCAGTCCACGGCCCCACCCTCAGCCCTACTAATTCCCGTGGTTCTTTGGGGCAATTCCCAAGCCCCTGTCAAAGGACACTCGGCCCCCATCCTGTGTACCTCCCCCGACGTTGTCACCCTGCAGCTACAGCCAACCAGGCAGCCAAGGCTGAGACCTTTGGGTCCAGCACAGGGCTTGGGCTGGGGTGCTGGCTCGGGGTGGCCTCACATCCCTGGGTCCCAGCCTTTTGGGTCTCTGGCTGGGCTGGGCAGGACCCCGGGCTGACAACTGAGGCTGTCCCGAGAGAAGCATGTGGGGAGCAGTCAGAATCCAAGCTGCGCCACAGGAAGACAGGCACCATCAAATCCCATCACTAGGGTTCTGTGGGGAAGATTCTGTCCTGGGGAGGATTTGCAGTGCACTGATGGTGAATCCAAGACACGGTACTGGAGTGGGCCAGAGCAGAGGTCACACGGTGTTCAGAGCCCGCCAGCAATGGGAGCCTGCCCAGGTGTCTTGTGCATGCCCAGGGCTGGGTGCCTTGGTGAGGAAGCCTGACCAGCTCGGGGGAGATGGCCCTGTACACTTACCTCTCCTTCCCCTATCTGAGAAAGGAGATGATGACCAAGAAGCACCATCCATCAGCTCAAGGGCTCCAGGGTTTGCTTAGGTCTCAGGCTAACAGGATCATGGATGGCAAATGCATCAATCCCAGAATCATAGCTCACAAGGGGCCTGGGCCACAGGGAATTCCAGGCCCAGGGACTAGCCTGGTGCCACCTCACCTTCAGTGGTCACTGCAGTGTACAT